GATGAGCAGAGCTGTTAGAACTATGTGTAAATTAAGAGCCAAGCTCTGAAAGATAACTGAAAACCCTCTTCTTCAAAACAGCTTGCAGCAGGTTTCCTGGCAGCCATTTCCTTTCTTCTCAGAGCTTTTCTTATCTAATTTCCTGCTTGACAGTCTCAAAAAGCTGACCTCCATTTGAAGGAGGTTTTACTATTATGAGTTGCAGTGGAGAACACACCAGAGTGGAAGGAGGAGACATCTGTCCTGGGGCAACAACCAACACCTAGCCCAAGGACCTTCAGACTCATAAAACCTCTGCTCCATTTCCTCGCTTGTATAACCCTACTGTCCTGCCTACCACATGGAGCCAATGAGGTACAGTGAATCATGCATGAGCTGTTATGGAAACAACCACCATCATTCTCAGAAGTCTATAAACCTTGACTACTGGCTGCCAACTTTTATGAATAAAGTTTTATTGGAATGCAGCTTTGCCTGTTCCTTTGTGTATGATGAGGCTTCTTTAGAAATACAGAGCAAAGCTCAATAGTTGCAACAGATATCATATGGCCCACAAAGCTGAAAATTCTTACTATCCAGCCTTATACAGAAAATACTTTTCTGAACCATCATATCAACACATTTTTAAAAAAATTTTCAAACAAACAAGGTTTCATTTTTCCACTAAATACCCACATGGAATATTTCACAACACAGAATGTGTGCTTAACAGAAAGAAGACATTTGTTGATACTAATTATATGGCTAACACACAAGAAATTCGTTATACATGTTTCCTGATATGTCAGTCTCTTATTTTGAACATTAAAGTCCTCAGAATATTTTGAATTTAATTCTTCAAAGAATAATTAGATCAGAGCCCAAAACTACTTCTGGTGTGTATTTTAGGGTGAAAAAAAATCAGTATTACATTGTCCCCATTGTGTCACAGCACTGAGGGCAAAAAGCTGCCCATAGTCATCAGTGCCAAACACACTGTGGGAGCTCAAATATTAATCAAAATGACATCTCCAATTTCTCTCTTTCCTAATCAGCCCTAAACATTGCAGGATATCCAGGAAATCAATAAGCAAAATGGGATTCTCTCATCACTCCGAGCCTGGCAGCACTGCATCTTTAGCCAGGATGAGGGTTCTCAATGTTACACAAATACTTTCTTATTTCAGCTGTTTGCCTCTTCCATGGGATAAGCATGCCCACCTGTCACCCAAACTTTGCCCTGCCATGCATTTGACCATACCACCTGTCACAGAAAGAAAGATCTTTTACCACTTCAAGAAAAATATGCCTGGGATTGTTTCACTCTAGAATAGAATCTTGGTGCATTTTTCCACCAAGATTTTTGAATGAAGTGAGAACAGGCTGTTAAAAAGTAATTGTGAAAAACTGAAGTGGCCTCACCTGCTACCATCCACATCTGAGGGGATAGCATAAGTCCTGACCATGCATACCACACACTCCCTAAACTTCCAAAAAACCAGACTTTAGGCACAAATGAAAATTAACCTTTGGTTTCAATCTTCTTCCATTGCCTTCTGTCTAGGCCCTTTTCCCCAAATCTCTTATCTCACTGATACATTCTGTGTTTTCTCTATGAGTTCTAGATTTGTTCTAGTGCTGAAAGATCTGAGGAGATAGCTATATGTCAATTTATTCTACCTTTATGTATTTAGAAGAGGCAGAGTGCTGGAGAAATGGAACAAAAAATAGGTTTGTTCACAAAAGAAACTAAGTTCAAACCCTACAGAGAGGATAGCAATGAGAAAAGCTAAAAGGCAAAGGCTCAGGAAAACTGACTGAAATAGAAAATACACAGACGTTCACTACTTGTGAGCTCCAGAAACCCCATAGGAGACTTGGAGAAGAAAGCTAAAATCTGCTTATGGTTGAGCAACCATGACCTAAAAACTACCACAATTGGTCAATGTGAAGTTGAACTCATTTGAGACCCAAGAACATTTAGGTTAGTTCACCCAGTCATTATTCATTCATTTGTGTGAATAGGCACCTTCCAATCAGGCTCTCCAAGCCTGTTTTGGTCTTAGCTGATATTTTCTCTTTTAACTTTATGAAAATATAAATAGAAAAGATTCCTCATCCAAGATTTGTTTTTCTCTCTTACAGGAAAAGGATAAAATAAAGATCAAGTACAGGAAACATGATGGAGCCACCTTAGCTAGATAAAGTCAGCTTGGGGGAAAAAAAGTGTTCATTAAATTTTAGGAAAAATTGAGATAGAGATTAAAGGCAACCAACAAGAAAGCCAATACCAGACACAAGACTTAAAAAACAAAACAAAACTTATTCAAAAGGAATGCTTATGAGGTGGAAAACTGAGCCATCAGCCACCTGCACAGGTTGTTGTGGGATTCACATGGGATGGTCGGTCAATGGGACAATCCTTTGAAAAAGTGAAGGACACAGGACAAATGTGAAGACACTTATATAGTTCTGAGCAATCCTAAGTTCTATCTTAGGCTGAGTTGAGGTTGCTTAAAAACTACCAGTGTAGTAGCATGAGATAAATAAATAGCCTCATTTGGATCAAATATCCTCTAGGTTAATTTGGTGATTAACAGTACATATTATTTAATATGGCAAACTAAAACAAACACTTTAATAGGAAACAACATAAATAGCCAGCTATAGGAGATTCCTGAAGTAACTAATTATTTTTTTGGTACCTGGGATTGAACACAGATGTGTCCATTACAGCCACTATTCCAGTCTCTGTACATTTGGTGGCCCACTCGATCCCACCTATCCTTCTATGTCCTGCTCTGTCCACAGTGAAGCTAATATGATATCTAGAACTGGATACCTTTCACCTCTGACATCCAGAAAGATTAAACTAATGAAGGGGACTGCAGGAGAAAGAAGAGAATTTCCCACAATTCTCTGTTTCAGTCCTGAGGATCTGGCTATAGCTGCCTCCCTGGCATGACTTCAGGTATGAGCAAACCCTCTGAGCTTCAGCTCTCACTAGGTATTAATGCTTTTCCATTATTGAGGCTTCAGCCCAACAAGTGGTAAGAGCTTCTTGATGCTGCCAGTGTCTGGGTGGGGGGAACAATAACATCTGTTCCTGGTCTGTTCCCTCATCCCTGCCCATACCTATAAATATTCCTTTGTTACAGTCTCTTCATTTGACCCACCTGAGTTGAATTCAGTTTCCTGCCAGGACTATGGCTGAAATAAAACATGGATATCTATTTATTGGCATGGAAAGATATCTGACAATGTAGATCAAAATAATAGCACTTGGGTTTATATAGTGGAACAGAATTATGTATTTTTCTTTATGATTCTTTATTGTTCAATTGTTCAACTACATACGATTATTCTGAGGGTATAAAAAGAAATAATAAAATTAAATACAAAATGGAATAAGCCTAACCTTAAGAGTACTTTACTTCTCACTTCATCAAAATTAATATATACAAAAAGTTGCATAGCACAAAGGTATCTTGATGAGGCAATGGAACCATGAACACTTGTAAGCAACAAGATATTTCTTTATTCCTGCTGGATTCTATTACCTATTAAAAATTCTGTTCAGTCAGCAAGTGTTCACAATCACGAACACAATTGTACAATTTATAAGTAATGTGTTTTAGAGGCTTGGATTTCACAAGCAGAGGTCAAGATTTTGTTGCACTCTGAGATAACAGTAGTAAATAAATGTAGTAGTAAGTAAATGACTAAGCGCTTATCACCTACAGGTACTGTGTACAAGTGTTGTCGGTACTCGCTCATTTAATGCTGGCAAGACAGCAGTGCTATTACTCCCATTCCACAGATGAAGAAATTGTCATGCAGAGAAGCCAAGGAATTGGTCCAAGGTTGCAGAGCTCTTCACTGACAGGTCCTAGAGGCAAACCTTGGCTCCTGAACCTATTTTATCCATTACACTCACTTACCACTCAGATGGACCCATTAACTAAGAATTCTGAAACTCTCCTAATTATGGACATATTATGCAAAGAACCACCAGAGCCCTCAAACTGACTCACGACTTATTAGCTGTGCAACCTTGCACATTTACATCACATATTGACAATTCCTCATCAATAAAATGGTGACTGATACCTCTAGCTATGAGACTCTAACTCATACGAGCAAATGAGCATGGTAGCTTTCAAAGACATATAACAAGATACAAATGTAAGGTTTATGCCACACCCTCAAAACATGAGTACATTAGTCACCAACATTAACACACAACAGTCAAAGGTAAAGAAAACAGCAATTACTTGGGTGAAGTATGGCTCTAAACTATAATATTATAAACTACCCACTCTGTTAATAACACCCAACATAAAACCACCACTGATTAATCAATAAAAATCATGCAATAGTTTCAGTGAAATGTACTCTCAAGTGAACTCTCCTGACTCACATTCATTAATTACATCACCTAATTTGATATGTTCCAGCATTTTCTGAAATATATTATTCTCAATCTTCAGTTATGTAGTAAAACTTTTTTTAAAAAAAAACATTTAAAGTTCAAACTATACATTCTGTGTGGTATAATACCAAAAGTTCAAGTAAGCCACTCAGTTTTCAGTTTCCCTGACTCAACTTTTTGGAGTTTTACAATTAATTATATTCCATTATTACTGATCATCAATTAGCTCAAAATGTTGCTGAGATGGTGAGTATGCTGAAGAAGGCAGAATTTAATGATACTTTGAGACCAGTAGGACACTAAATTTCTCTCTTGTTAATAATTAAAGTAGATAACTTGTGTTTTTATTTATAGCTTCCAGAAATATCCGGCTCATTCCTGTGCACTGCCCTGTCAGCTAATCATCAGCTGGTCAGGATCTGACTTAGGCCATCGTGTTGTATTTTCCACATGTCTTCAACTGAAGCTATTTGCAGCCCAACCAAACCTTAAAGCAAGTGATGTCATTTCTGTGTCCTCTCTAGAACTTTCCACACACTTATACATCACAAATATATAAAGAATCAGAAAGGGTAAAATATCAATTTACCTGTTTCAATTTCCCAGATATAGACAGAATCGTCAGCACATCCAACAATTAAAAAGTTCTCAACTGGGTGCCATTTTATCATCCTCACAGGGAAAAGATGCTTCCGAGCACGCAGGAGGCACCTCCTTCCCTCCAGGTGAAGGAGAGACACAGAATGGTCACTGCACACACAGCAAATTATCTGATCATCCCTCAGCTGTGACAAAAACAACAAGCTTATATAAGTAAACAGTCAAATGTTTTCTTTTTCATTATATTTTCTCCTAACGTAGAACATTTTTTGTTAAAGCCTCATTTACAAAAGGACATTTCTACATTCTATAGCATCTCTTCACATAGCTATCTATGGAGGAGCTTTAAAAGCAGAGTGAAGTTTAAACTCAACAACCTATGAGGAAGGTCAAAAGATGCAAGTAAAAAGGAGAATTCTAGGCCAGATCTACTTATGAGATAAATGAAGAACTTGATCATAACTCAGCAAATTCAGGCAGTGAGACAGACATCGGAAATAATGCAGAATAAAATAAACCCCAGAACTAATTTGTTGCCACAAAAAGAAGCTATTTGTAGACACAAGCTTAGGTCCAAGGGTATCATGAGCTGAGAGTTTCCACTTAAAGCCTCAAAATGTGATTTGGTGCTGTTCCCAGAACTATACAGATTCTAATCCAAACAGGAAACTCAGTGTAGACACAATCTAAAAGAGGTAAGCATTAGATAGTTCCAACTGAATGCACCGCTTCAAAGACACAAGGACCAAAAATAGGCTCCTAAGGACAAGAATCCTTAAGACACTTTTTAAAAAGTCAGCATGTGGTTACCTTGGCCACAGTGTAGGACAATGACCATCCATGCTGGGTATTGTTGATCTACCCAGAATTTCAGCTGTTGTGTTTATAGCACCAATGGAGATCTCTTGAGACCTCCCAGGACCCATCATCAACCTCTCTGTGGGGTACTAGAGAACATATTTTCTTTCCTAATTATTTTTTAAGGAGATTACATAAATCCAAAGGGAAAAAAATTACAAAATGGCAGGTGCTATACATATGGAGCCTAGACTTATTGAATGAATTAAATATCATTTCTTCCCACCCATAATACCTCTTGGAGAACCTGCCCATCCCATAGCCTCTAGAATGGACACCCCAAGGTGTTTCAGGATCCTTAAACACACACACACACACACACACACACACACACACACACACCCCACATGAATACAAATCTTAAGGCCAGGAGTGGTTGTACTAGTGACCCACACAAGGCCAATCAGAATCTGTTTTAAAGGCATTTAAGAGATAAAAATAATTCACAGAAAGAAGCAAGAGAAGGAAGCAATCACAGGAAAGCATGCAAGTGTACAAGCATATACTTTTGCATAGGAAAACTTGGTTTCAGAATTTAGAATTCAAGTTCCCCCAGCCCTTGCTATAATATTTTGTCCTGGATGTCTCAAAGATTGTTGTTATACTCTCTGAATAAAGTGTCCCCCCCAACATTTTTTTTTAACTCAGTTTGAATACATCCTGTTTCTTAAAATTAAATCATCTATGACTGAGGCAGAGAAAAAGAGATCAGCAATGAAACTGACTTGCACTGCTCTACTGGAGTGAAAAGGAAAAAAAATGAATAAAAAGAAAAAAAATAAAGAAACATCAGAAATAAAAGATATATCAAGGAATCCCAAATCATCATGGGGAAAATTATTTTAAAACCACACTTAACCTTGTTTCACTGCTTTATTCAGTCATTTGTGTTGCTGAAATATTGTTTTCCATCTCATTACAAAAGTATTATGCTTCCTGCAAGTTTAATTGTAGCTGATTTTTTATAATATTGTGGAAAAATAATTTTATAAGCCAACTAATTTACAAAATTTCTTTCCCTGCATTATCCTGTACTTTTATTTTAGATGAAACTCAAAACTTGATTGTTCATTTTTTAACAAAGACATTAGCTCTACGAAAGCTGAATTTAGGTTAACCAAGGACATTAGCTCTATGAAAGCTAAATTTAGGTTGACATTTCATGAGAAAATTACATACAAAACTATTTCATTTTTCCCAACATAATATAGGTGCTCATAAATTTTTGAAATCTCAATATTTATTAAAGAAATAGATAAGTAAATAAAAATCCACATAATAAAAATAATGCAACTATGAATATTATTATAAAATGAAATTGTTGAAGGCAAAAGTTAAGTTCTAATTTATACATCCCTACATTGTTTAACTTGTTTTTGCATTAATCGGCTACTTTTATTAAAAAATAACTCCATATTCAGAATTAAGACAGAAAAATATATAAAAATATATAATTATTTCTTACTAGAAATAATTAAATACTTTTATAAAATCAGAACTTTAAACACTTCCTTTAGAACCAAATTATTTGTATAATAATAAAAATTGGATAAAAAGATTAGAAAGAAATATGGAAAATCATCCAGTTACATTATAGGTGAACAAAACTTTTTTTTTCTCCTGTGGGATAATCTCTTATTTTTCTTGCTTTTAAAAATGTTCTGTAATGTCATACAACTCAAATTATGAAACTGACTTGGACCGCTCTACTAGAGTGAAAATGAAAAAAGTGATTAAAAAGAAAAATTAAAGACAAACCTCAGAAATAAAAGATATACCTGAGGAATTCCATACTTTTTATCTTAACTTACTCTGAAGTTCTCTGGTGACATCAAAAGGCTTGTTACTGGACCAGCTTCCAAAAAGAACTTATGCAAAATGTCTTCAGTAAAGATATCCCACAAGATCACACACGAACCTTGGTCCCCAGACAACATCCAACTTTGGTCTAATTTCGAAGATAGACCATGTGGATAAAGTAAAGAAGTTACACTTTGGTGGTGGCCTTTGAGAACTTTATGAGAGAGAGAATCTGGAAAATGATCAAACACCAAATAGTAAAGACTTTATTTTTATCTAGAAAATAATTCTGAGAATTATTTTTATAAATTCTTAATATAAACACACATTTGACTAAGAAAATTAGTGGACAACACTTAGAACATCTCAAAAGGCAAGAGCTTTATCAGAAACAAAACCATGCTTTTGATGAAGCACTAACATTGATTGTTTAACTCTATTCATTGCTTAGTATACTAGCAAGTTATCAGTTCTTCCACAGCAAACACTTTTCTGAAAGAGTGATTCATATATTCTGCTCCATTAAATAAGCCAATTTTCTTTAAAATTAGTATAATTAAGTCTAATATATAAGAAAAACAAGTTTCCCACAACATTTTGCTTTGAAATATGTTAGAGATTACCTAGTCCTTTCTCTTTGTTTTACAGATAAAGTCCCTGATAGGTTAACTGAATTAATCACAAGTGTCAAAAACCAAGCATAATGTTTAAGAATGTAGACTTGCTATTGAAGAAATCTGCCTTTATCTCTGGTTTGATTAATTTCTAGATGTCATAATGGAAAAGTTGCATTTTCTCTAACCCATAGATGCTGCACCTGAAAGATTAGAATAATAATCATCCTTGCTTCAGAATGACCACAGGGTAAAATAAATAAGACAAAATGTCCATAATTTTCTAGCACTGTCCTTGCATCTTCCAGGCTCAGGGGTATTTCAAACCATATCTGTACTGGAACAAAGGATGAATGACACATCTTTTCTTTTCTGACTAACCACACAGCTTCTTCCTTCCTCATTAACTAAACTGTCCCCAAATTGGAGAGGACCATAAGCCATAACCTCTGTATTCAAACTAAAGCGGAATCCCAAAGAATCATTATCTCACTGTAGTTACTTCTAGTCCATCAGGCACATCCTCATTTCATACCCCTCTCAAATCATAAAAAAAAATATAAACGCAGATGCTAAAAGTCAAATGTAGGTTTCTGTTTATTTTCTTAACATTAGGATAAATCAGCCTAGATAAAAGATGCTAAGGTGTTGGATTTTTCACTAACTTTTAACATCAGCCATTTAGCTATATACCAGTATATTACCTTTCCTCAGTTCATTGCCATTTATTCACTGACTTCAGTCAAGTACTGAATCACAAGTCAGTAACATTTAGTTAGTAACCACTGTAAATTAAGAACAAGAGTGGGCAATGTAAGAGGAGTTGAAAAACATACTGAGATTCAGTCTCTACCCTTGAAGACCTTATATTCTAATAGGATTTATATAATTTAAAATAGTTGGGGCTGGGGATGTGGCTCAAGCGGTAGCGCGCTCGCCTGGCATGCGTGCAGCCCGGGTTCGATCCTCAGCACCACATAC